ATTAGTTCAGCTCTAGATGTACTTTTATATCTTGCTTCAAATCCTATTGATTCGTCAGACCACCACTTTGTCGTCGGCTAGCTTTCTCCTACGAGATCATGACTCAGAATTGTTGCTCTATGACTTCCCCACTATTGTAATATAGGACTAAATGATTAGATTCCTCTTAGAACAATTTCTTGCTTGCCAAAACCCTAACACCAAGTCTGCACAGAGGTGAAGACCAAGGGAACCTCCAACATTGTCTTGTTCAATCGAGTGTTGGCCAATTTTATTCGTCAACTATTCCAACATTTGATCATTCAAAACCCAAATCTTGAAGATTCTATTCCATAATGGCTCCTCTTCCTCCTTATCCAACTCCTCTTTGTCCTCTTTGATAGGCAATCCTAGACATCGAACTAAGTTTGCACCCTACTCCTAGGTCATCTTCTCTAGGGGAACCCTTAAAATCCTAACAGTTATACCCAACTCTAGGAAACCATCTTCAAAACAGAATGGGGTAACCTTATACAATGTACCGATACATTGCAAATTAATTACTCTCTCATTAATCTTCCTTTTATTGCTAATCCTTTTAATTAATTTCTTTCCCTCTCTCATTAAATACTATAATTACATTAATTACTCCATCCCTTTCTCTTTAAATTTAAGGCAAGTTTGAATTTGAATTTTGAAATTGGCATGCCACTCTAATTCCCAATGCCCATAGTCTTAGGTGTAAAAGTTAAAGTAGGCCATAAGAAGTTTCAAACCTTGGTCACAAGTTTACAATGTCCATGAGTCTACCACTACGCCTGATGTTGCGTGATCTGGCAGCTCTCTATCGGGAGATGACTCGGATGCCGAGCTGGACTATTCCTTGCTGGAAGGTGACTCAGATGCCAAGCTAAACAATGACGAACTGTATAATTTTCTAGGCGACTTACAGGGAGAAATTATTAGAGTGGCCAGGTTGCTTTATCTTGGGTGGGCACTTTGATGCTTAAGTTAACGAATTGGAGGTTTTAGAGAGAGCTAGAATGCTAGATAACCAGAGAATGTGAGAGCTGAATCGCGTGTACCTTTTCTAAAGATTGTGATGCCTTTATATAGGTACAAGGAACCAAAGGCCCCTTGTAACGGGTTCCAGATTCCTAGGGAATCGCTCCCGCTATGTTCGGAGAGGATCTCTCGATCAATTATGCGATCTACGTAGAGGGCTAAGGTCTGTTCGATCAACTTTGATGTGGATAAGGTAGGTAGGCGGGCTTAACGGTTGAGTGCCATTACTTGGAGAAGTTGGTTTCGATAACAGGTTTAAGGAATAGGTCGGCGAACATGTCTTACAGGTTGCTACCTGTACTCTAGTTAGCTCGGCAGGTCCTCGAGGAGGTCACTCCTCACATTGAGGTCCCTTAGACTGGTGAGGCCAAGGTAATATAGGTTGCCCTGGATGAGATGCTGCTGGCCGCTCTGCCAAGGTGATCTGCTTACTCGGTGCTGAGAGTCATCTAGCTGTTCAAAAATGCCATGTGTCATGATGTTATTTGGAGGACCAAATTATCTCTCATCAATGCCCAAATCCATTTTGGTGTTCAATATTATCCATTTTCATCCTTAAATAATAAATTCTTTCTTTTTAGTGGATGTTTATTGAGATGATTATACCATGAAACCCAACTCCAAACCTGGAATTTTCGAGTTTGGCCGGGCCGAGATGATCACCCTTGATGTTTGTTAATAAATGCTAAAATTGATTATTAAAATTTATATATTAACAAATATTAAGACAAATTATTTTGATTATCTAAAAACCAAGGTATATATGCACACATTTTAGTTTTTCCATAATTTTTTAACAGTTACTGATTATGTCCCGATCTCTTGTATTTCAAGTGAACCATTACAGTGAGGTTTTAATATTTTAATAACTTATTTATGGTCATATGTACCTTGCACTTTATTTTTATTATTATATTTTTTTAGGATTTATTTGAGTTTCATAGCGTATTCATGTGTATCTTAGTTTTCTATTCGTATCTATGTGTATCCAAAGCATATCCCGATACGTTTCTTAAAATTGCCTTTTTGATACACTTCGTGTTTCCAATACTTTAAAACCTTGCTTCTAACATCATTTTCCGCCTTCTTTTGGCTTCTCCTAAACCTTCTTCTTCATATTTTAACATTGCTTTTGAGACTTGTTTAATAGCTATTGTTCTCTGTAGAACTAGAGCAAACTCATGACAAGACTAAAATAATGAACTTTCACACCAAATGAGGTATCTATAGCTTATAGCTTTTAGGAATAAGGATTTAGGAGTACCTATTTCCCCTAGCGGCTTTTGGCTTTGCAAAAACAATGTTTGGTGAAAAAACGTGCAAATTGCAAATTAGTAATCATTAATAAAAGGGTAAATTTCTGAAACCTCCCTTGAAGTTTTTGACCATTGTTGAAACCTCCCTTGATGTTTGGTAATTTCTAACAAGAGGCACGAAAATGTCCAAAATATCTATGTGCCATTACTATTAAGTGTGGTTTCTACATAAAAAAAATACAAGCTTTATGAACAACAAAAGAAAATGAATGAGAATTTAAAGTTGTAGCTTTGCCTTTGAGTGATTGATATGAAGGGTAAATTTGAAAAATAAATCATTCAAAAAAGAGATTGGAAGGGTTTGGGGTAACAATTCATATGAAGAGAAGAATTGGAAAATAAACACATTTTTCAAAAGACTGTATGGGTATTTTGGACATTTTCATGCCCCTTTTTAGAGGATTCTAATCTAGGGATACTTGTAACTATGTCAAAAAGTTCAGGGGAGGCAATTGTAATTACCAAACTTCAGTGGAGGTTTTAGCAATTTACCCAAGAAAAGTAGTTGACTTTAGATTGAAACTTTTTTCAGTTGTTTTTCCAAGATAGTTTAATGAAAGCAGCTCAACCAAAACTTCGGCCCTCCCAATTCCCAAACTTTAGGCTCAATTTGGAAAGAGTACAAATACAAATAAAGAGTCATTGTTAATAAATGAAATACATTTACATTTATTAACATTTATGTCTACATGCAAATATGCAATCTAAACATGCAACATACAACTCAAACTACAATTAAAAAATAATATTTTATAAATTGATGGAATAAATAATTTATCAAATCCACATATATGTCAAAAAATGATTTGTAATTTAAAAAATTTATACAAATAAAAAGTATTAATAATAAAATAATATTTTAATACTTAAAATTTATAAATTTGCACATGATATATATCGTAACATTTTTATAAATCATTAATTAATACTTTAATTTGCATTAAATAACATTGTATTTATTATTTATAAAAATAAAAATATTATTTACAAAATATTTGAAAATATAATATAAATTGAATCTATCAAATCCACTAATCTACATTTATATAGAAAAATAATTTTTTATTTTATAACATCTATAAAAGTAAAAATATTAATAATGGAAAAATTATTTTATGAATTTTTATATGATATTCATCTTCAACATTTTAATAGGTTTAATATATTTTAAGTTAAGATTATTTGTTTTTATAAATTATTAATTGATATTTTAATTTACATTTCATAATATTATATTTATTGTTTACAAAAATGAAAATATTGTTTACCAAACATTTGAGAATTAATTTTTTAGTTGATTTTTTTGTTAATGTTAAAAATAAAAAAAATTGTAAAATAGAAAAAATGATATAATAGTTCAAATGTAATAGTTGCATATGTTTTGTGCCTTGGACTTTAATAGAAAATTAAGTAATAATGGCTTTGTACATGTACTAATTTGTAAAACTCCATATAATTTGTGTCTTGGACTCTTAATTGATGCATTATCAATAAAATTGTATAATATCTATGAATCACTCTATATTAATTGTAATATATTTTTTCATCTATATAAACCATTAAAATATACAATTCCTATGTATTTATACATTATTTATAATTATTTTGACATTAAGCTTATTGTTAATAATATAATTAATTATGGATTTGTATACACTTTCCTACCATATCCAAGCATTTTCATATTTTTCGTGCGTATCCATGTGCTTCCCAAATGTATCTATATCCATATCTGTATCCATATCTAAGCTACCCGATATGATATCCGATACTGATACTTATCCTTGGTTAGCTCTCCTAAATAAAATTATTCAAAATTGGGAAGAGAATAACCATACTTTTATCTTAATGTGGATGAGTAATAATACTTTGGACAAAACCCAAAAAACAGTAGAATTCTAGACATAGCTGAGATGCTTGGGAAAGACCTGTGGGGACTCTCTCATTTTCTATAATCAAGTAAGCATGCACCTTAAGCTTGAAATGCTAGATTAACACAATTGTTCTCTGATACTGGTAGAATATATAGCTTCTCCAGCTCAAAGCTTTAATGATTTAATGATTTAAGCATGTATTAAGATTAAGGTTAGTCCTGAGCTCTGCAGCCAGTTGATATGGTGGAAATGGTAATTAGAGTTGAATACCAAGCTAAGCAGTAAGAAGCAATAAGCAAGCACAATGAAGAGTCAACAGTTTAACAGTGATTAAAGCTAGGGTTGGACGAGGACAATTGGGGTTTGAAGTTGAACAATTAATCTGTTAGAACATTAACTAATTGTCTTGTTGGGTATATGTTCCAAATTAATTACCTCCTCTAACCATGCAGGAAGTCAAAGTTTGACAATGATGGGGAGGCTTGGATCATATGCCAAGTGGCTTTGGAACAACAACATTTTGTTACAAACTTGTAATGTGCCCCAAACACAGATATTTGCCCGCTCTACGCTCAGAGCGGGTCCGAGGGGTGGGAGAAGTAACCGAATCTCTATCTCCCTCTCCCTCTCCCTATTTTTATACCTTGTGCACGCATTCATCTGAACCCCTATAAATCATCACGACCCAACACAACACTTGAAATCTTTTTATCTTTTATCACAACAGAAGAACACAGGAAAGAGAAGGAGAAAGAGAGAGAGAGAAATGGAAGATGATAACCATGGAAATGGACCCAGTGGAACTAGTAGGGAAAGTGAATGCAATATGATCAACAATAGCAGCAGCAGCAGCAACAGTAGAAGCAACAACAATAATAGTAGAAACAGCAGCAACAACAACAATAACAATAGAGAACAAGATCGTCTCCTTCCAATAGCCAATGTGGGTAGGATCATGAAAAAGGTGATTCCAGGTAATGGGAAGGTGTCTAAGGATGCAAAAGAAACAGTCCAAGAGTGCGTCTCAGAATTCATTAGCTTTGTTACTGGGGAAGCATCTGACAAATGCCAGAGGGAGAAAAGGAAGACGATTAATGGTGATGATATCATATGGGCAATTTCTACACTTGGTTTTGAGAATTATGTGAACCCGCTTAAGCTTTATCTCCAAAAGTACAGAGAAATGGAAGGAGAAAAGCTCAATGTTCCCAAGCAACAACAGGAACAACAAGTTGCATCTTCTGATAATGTTAATTCTTCAGCTCATCTCACCTCTCAACCTTCACTATTGTACAGCACTAATCAGCCCTTTTCCATGCCTTTCTCACCAAGCTCAATTCAACAACAGATGCAACAACAAGAACCGAATGATTCACTTGGCCAATGGTAAGGAAAATTTGTCCTTATTCCCAATACAATTTTCACTACTTGCTTTAATTTTCCTTTCAAAGTACATACACTTCTGTTAGCTTATATATTTAACATGGGATTTATATATTTCTCCTTTTTTTTTTTCTTTTCCTTTTTCGTTTTGGTTTGTCATTAGGCTGTAGAGCTTCCATACATAGAATAATTTGAAATATTTTTCTCCGGTTGCATATTTTTCATCCTAAGGTAACATTCCACCAAACTACAAACACTCCCCAACAAAAATGTTTATTAGCTTAATTATTAGTCCTTTCTCAGTTCAGAATACTTCATTCTTCATAGAGGAAATTAAAACTCATTACATGCATTACCTATGGCTTCACGCATGTAAGAACTGGAAAATAAACAAAATTGTATAGTCTTCAATTTTTCAAGGGAGGTTTTAGACCCAGATTATATGTTTGTACCAGATATGGACCATGACGGGGCGGATCCAACCTAGGGTTGGTCCGAAAACATCTGAACTAGGATTTAGCTGGATTTACTCCCATACCTGACCCGTTTTATGTCATATTGGTCACATGCATGCATCTCCTTCGCTGAAAAATGTTTTTTTTTTCTTCGTCAACTTTGCATCTGGGGAAAATGTTTAATTTCAGCTCATTTTCTTTTGTATTATTTGTTAATTTTCTTTTCTCATTTTATCATTAACCACCAACTTGTGTGAAAAAGCTTTGCCTTACCTCTTTCTAAGCACTTGGTTTCAAATAACTTTGAAACCATCCCTCACTCTGAACTTGTTGAACAAGTAAATCTATAAAAATATTTTCTTGCATGGGTGTTGGGTTTACATTTATAGTGGGTGTATAATCAAATGATGTGGTATTGGTTATACTATTCACCATCTAATCATCATCAAATAAACTAGTTACTAACATATATTGTTTAAACTTTCCTAATTAAGCACATTCAAGTGTATAATCCTTGAAACACACATGTTAGTCACATTAAAACCTAAGCACAATTAGTCAACTAATATTAGGCCCCGTTTGGTTCACAGGAATAGAGGTCTGGAATCGGAATTAGAATGGACTATTTGGATTCCAACTGTTTGATTGGGTGGAATCAGAATCCCATTCTCATTCCCCCATTTGAGGGAATGATCCCCTCCCTTGAGAATGAAATTCCATTCCTGCAGAAATGGCATTCCCCATTTGAGAGAATGACATAATATTAAAACCTAATATTAGTGGTATGAGTGACACTAAAACCTAATATTAGTGGTATGAGTCAACTAATACCACATTAAAAACCTAATATTAGAGTGGTATTAGTCAACTAATTTCCACATTAAAACCTAACATTAGTGCTATAAGCACATTAAAACCTAATATTAGAGTGGTATTAGTCAACTAATATTAGTGGTATGTGTCACACATTAAAACCTAAGCACATGCATTATAATACATGTATTTAGACATGTACTCCGGTTTCAAAAATATTATATTATAAAAGGTATTAGACATGTATTCGTAGTAAAATTGACAATGACTCACCTATACATAAAATCAGGGGTGGCAAATAGGTGGATTGGGTAAGGGTTGAATATCAATCCACCCATATTAATCCACCAACCCACCATGACCCATCATTAATCCTAGTTAAAGGGTCATAACCCATTCTAACCCTAAGCCACCCCTAACCCACCCATATTGACCCATCATATTAACATTTAACCACCCTCACCCATACTAACCCACCTACCACCACTTATAAATACAAAAATGGGTAGGGACGACCCATATACGCAAAATAATAAATTTTGAGAGAATAATCTCTCTCAAGGCTATCATGTGACAAAAACGAGTTAGGTCAACCTGTATATCCGAAAAAGCAAAAATTGTACATAAATACAAAAAATGCAAAAAAAAAATCAAAAAATTGTAGAAAATACAAAAAAATACGAAAAATACTAAAAAATTATAGAAAAGTCAAAAATTTTGCAGAAAAAATCAGAAGATATGCAAAACAATACTAGAAAATTGTAGGAAGTGCATGAAAAATGCAAAAAAAGCACAAAAAAATTTAGAAAATGCAGAAAATACCAAAAAATTACAAAAAATGTACAAAATAACAGAAAAATCGCAAAAAAATGCAAAACTTTCATAAAAGTGCTTTTGCAAAAGTACTTTTATGAAAGTACTTCTATAAAGTGCTTTCATAAAAGTATTTTCATAAAAGCATTTTTATAAAAGTGCATTTATGCATTCATAAAAGTGTTTTCATAAAAGTACTTTAATAAAAGTGCTTTCGTGTAAAAGTACTTCCGAAAAAGTACTTTGAAAGTACTTTTATGCATTCATAAAAGTGTTTTCGTAAAAGTGCTTTCGTGTAAAAGTACTTTTAGAAGTGCTTTTATGCTTTCATAAGTGTTTTCGTAAAAGCACCTTGGTAAAGTGCTTTTGTAAAAGTACTTTTATAAAAATATTTTTGTAAAAGTACTTTCGTAAGTACTTATGTAAAAGTGATTTCATAGAAGTTCTTTTCATAAAATTACTTTGTAAAATTGCTTTTGTAAAAGTGTTTTTATATAAAAGTGCATGTGAACACGAAGGGTATTAAAATCTATTTTATTTTGCTTTCATTAACAAAATGAAATTTGGAATAGTGGTTTGGAAGTGTAATGAAATGTTTGCATGCTAAGAGGTTTGAGTTTGAATCATTATAGCTTTTACTTTTTGAGATTTGGCGAGTATAGGTAGAATTGACTTTGACCCAACCCATCTTGACCCACGGCCCAACCCATCTTGACCCGCCATCTTGACCCTAATGGGTACCCTCAACCTAACCCACCCTAACCCTTTTCCACTGACCCTAATGGATTGCTTGACCCATATTGACCCATCAATAGATTGGGTGGGATGGGTCAAATGGGTTGGGGTCAACATTGTCAGCCCTACATAAAACCATTTTGGCTGCTGGTTCCTGGTTTTGACGGTTCAACCATCCATCCACTTTGCGCCTAACTAATATTCTTTTCTCAGAATCGGCAGCCTTAGAAGGCATTTTGGTTTAGGACTTACTATTGTAAATCGGGTACCTGATTTGAAAATTTTTAAGATGAATCACGGGCTTGGGGTTTTGGGCCAGACTTAACAACCTAAGCCAGCCCAACTTGTACCCCTACTTATTATCGAGATAGTAAGTCCTAAAATTCTGTTAGAGCATGTAAATACAGACTGACACATAAATAGTGTTCGATTAGCCGAACACAATGGCTATGTAACCAATAATAAATGGCTGATGTAGAGTGTTTATTGGTTACACATAGGGTGGCAATTTGACGGATTTGGGTTGAGCTTCAACCTAACCTGTCTAACTCACTGACCCGTTAATGACCTATTTAGGGAAAATTAAATGAATTGGGTTCAACCTAAATCTACCTTAACCCAATCCATCCATCCCATTAATTTTTTAATTTATTAAAGTATAGAAATGCAGAAATTATAGAATAATACAGAAAATACAAAAAAAGAAAATAAAAATAATAGAACTTATTAACAATACAAAAAATACAAAAACACAGAAAATGCAAAAAAAAAAACAAATTACAGAAAAGTATAAGGGATATTTACATAAAAGTACTAAAAATGTTGAAAAAACAAAAATTGTAGGAAAATATAACAGAAATTATAAAAACACATAAAATGAATATAAATGATAGAAATTATGAAAAAGCATAAATTAAAGAAAAAAGTCATCGTAATTGTAGAAAAAAACATAACAAAAAAGAAAAACATGAAAAATGAAAAAAAACAGAAATTGCAGAAAAAATACGGGAGCTATAAAAATACGCTGAAAACATAAAAAACTAATAGAAATCACAAAAAATAAATGCATAGCTCATCCAACCATTCCAGATCTGAAAGGAGCTTTAGGGTTTGTTTAGCAAGTTATTTTGGGAAGATTTTCTACTAGGTCTGACAGTCAAAAGATGTATTAAGCTTATGCATGAAGATCTGAGCAACCTGAAGCTAATTTGGCAGATGCATGTCTTTCCGTGTCTTTTTGCTCAAGAATAAAATGCGAAAGACACGAAAAACTTCATTTGAAGCTTCCTGAAATCAGCCCAAAAAGGGTTTTTCGTGTCTTTTCGGTGCTCCAGCTTTTAGCGGCTAGATCTTTCGTGAACCAAACGAAAATAGACCATAAATTAGTCTGCCCGGCTTATAAACAGCCGAAAGACTGTGTGAAAAGACGCACCAAACAGGCCCTTAGTTCTTTACTGTCATAAATTTCATTTAATTAGCTCGACTAGATGTTAGATCATGGCTTTTCCAAAGTAATTCGCAGCTAAATCATACTTCTTCAAATCATGCTAGATCAAGCCTATTTTGTAGGGGAAGAGGCAGATTTGAATGCTGGAGATGGAATTCATTTCGCATCTTGACTTAAATAGCAAATCTTCTGGGATCTAACGGAGCTTCAGCAGGTCTTTTCTAATCTTCACTTCGATTGTCAAAGATCATAATCCAATGGCATTTAAGAGGTTGACATAAGCATTCCACAGAGGAGCTTAGGTTCATGTCTGAAATTTACACTGGAATTCAACAATGGAGTAACAGCGCTTAATCGAGAGATACTTTTCTGAAGCTTTAAGCAACCTTCTCTAGCAATGGATGTTCAGGGAGACACCTTCGACTTCATTGGTTTCTTTAAGCATCTGAAACTATGATTCATGAATCATGATTAAATTGGCGCTGAACTAAAGTAATTACTTAGGGTTTAGAAAAGGGTTATTGATAAAGAAGGGGGAAGTCGAAATATGAAAAGGCTAATGGGTTATCCGTTGGATAACCATGATCCAACCTACCCAAAACATTAAATCTTGCTTTATTGGGTTACCCAATCCACTAGACCCCGGATTAAATGGATACAACCCAATCCATCAATTGATGGTTGGGTTGAAAATTTGCCACCCCTAGTTACACAGTCCCTCACCTTCAGTTAATCCGAGTTCAC